GACGTGTATTGGCCTAGTGACAGCACGGGAGGCACCACTATGGGCTCTGTTTCCCAGCCGGTCTCATATGCATCCTTTTACACATGGCAGTATCGTGACTGGGTCACCAGAGGATATCAACGGCTCGGCCATCCGCGCCCCAAGATTGCACGTCCAGTTTTTGTTTCGGGATCACCAGACCTCATACGCTCGTCGGCATCCTCGAACTCGGATGGTGGCTGATGTTCGTCCTCGACTTTCCATGATCTTCAATTTGATTGGGGCGAGTGACTACGACACCTGAGCCGCGCCTTGCTACAAACCGTGACGTGCGGCGCGGCGTGCTCTGTGAGTGTTTGCTTGCATGTTTGTTGTTATGTCGCATGTAGTGCTTGTAGTCTGCAGCCGTGCACCTCTCGATTTTGCATCTAGGGTTTGAGTTGTCATGCCGTGGCTGGAGTGGTGTCCGGATCCTCAACAACCAGATGCTCAATGGGTCAAGATTTTTCATCCGGGATCATGGACTCCACAGGACGAACGTGATGATTCGCCTCCGCCCCATACATACAGAGAGTGGAAGGAGTTCTATGTCCCAAATCTTGATCAAGAAGGCGGGCAGCCCACCAACAGCATTTAGTACAAAAATGGGCCACAGAGGGCTACCGGCGAGTTGCAGCCCCTCAAGCTGATCACGGCTTCAATTCGATGTCTTCTCCTGATCAACATAGCGTGGCCACGCAATCATCGGCTTTGTGTATGTCACCGCAAATGTTGAATGCGATCCTTAGATCATCGGATGCTGCGGCTTTCTCCACTGAGGATCTCACTCGTCTTCAAGATGGGATCTCTCAGCAGCTGTCGGATCGCGCGCGTCAAGCGTCCCATCCGCACCAACCAGTACGTGCATCTCGTGGAGTTGAACCACCTGAGTCTATTGGGGCCTCTGATCCATATCTACCTACGACCCAACCATGCAGCTCCACCAACAAGGAGAAGCCTATCTTCGAGCTAAATGATGAATAGACTGATGCGTGTTGATCATGGCGCAAAAGGGTGCTTTCTCATGCTCGTGCTTTCTTGTGTATTTTCTGGTTGTCCATGGTTGTGCTTGGTGACTGTTTCTTTGCTAGCTGGATCGGAACCCGCGGTACGCCCTGTCTTTCACTTCGGCATGGACATCGGGGATGCAACTCAGACGTCGGGCCGAACCGCTGAGCAGCACCCATGGCTCGAATATTCAGTCTGGCAGGATCAGGAGTGGGTGCGGATCTATACTCCAGGACAACCTCAGCTATGGCAACCAGAAGAAGCCGTGCCTGACCTACCAGACAACTCGTTTTGGGAGTGGCAGCGGGTAACTGATCCAATTGGTGGGACTGGTGAACACAGTCAGGCGTGGACAATTCGCGACTGGCAACATCAAGGTTGCCAACGCAGGTTGCCAACGCATTCTTTCTCGCTTTGAGTCCTTTTCCACTCATCAAGCTCAGGATCAATCACTTGTTGACGTGCAGAATTTGGACATCATCCGGGTCGAGGAGATGTTCACCTATGCCCCCCCTATTTCTGACGGTGATCGCTCGACTGCTTTGCAACTTCCTCCGGTCTTCTATGGCGACACCCGTCATGCTCATCGTGGTGATCTTTCGTTCCCGTCAACGATAGAGATACGAAGTTGAGCATGTGATCTTCCTGCTGAAAAAGAGACTTCTCGCCCCTCACTGAGGGGCGTGTGTGTGCGGAGTGGCAGAATACCCTGTCACCGCAATTAGCAGCAGGGGGATCAGGCTTCCAGTGACTGACCTGATCCAACGAAGCTAGGTCACTGGAAGGGAGGTGGCTGAGGACG